ACATTGTGAATATCATGCTATAATTAAAAAGCTTTAGAAGGTACAATAAAATTTAACTAAAAGACACAAACATATACCACTTGTATAATATTTCAAAATTTTAAATGTTTTGGAGTATGCTTGCTAAAGAACAAAGTTTGAAGCTGATCTCTAAGACTGCTCACATCATTCTAACAAGATAAAATATCAAGGAGAGAAAGCCTGCAGTAAGTGAAAAATATTCCATTTAGTGACATATGCAGTGAATAAAAAACTGACATATTATCAGGCACTACCTAATAGTGACAGGTATCAGTAAAGCCACTTCATGCGCATATGGGTATCTTTATATAGAAAATTGAAACAGAGATATGAAGACTTGCCTAAAATCACACAGGAATTTAGCAGCAACACAGAGAGTAGAATATAAATCTCCTAGCCTGGTTCAGAATACCAGCTATTGTTTCATGTTCTCTTTGTCTATAGAAAAATAGGCTTGGGAGGCATATAATCTAACTATTCTTCTAGATCATTTTTTACAAAACACCTGGGAAGCAGGCCCAGAGCAATTGAGACATCTGAGAAGCTCACGAGTATTATTTTCACAAGACTAATAGCATGGAAGCTCTCTAAATCATCTTTTAAAAAGAAATCTGTGACACCAGATGGTAGGTCACAAGGCCCAGGCCATAAGGAACAGGAGTTTGGGAATGCTTTCACAATGCCTAGGAAGTGGTGCATAGGAAGAGAGAAGCTCACTTGGTTTTATTCTTGTTCTTAAGCTTAATTTAAAAACTGCAAATCTTTAGGAAACCTCTGCTTAGATCTTCAAAAAGAGAAGGTAATAGAAAGTAATTAATTTTCAGTATGGTATGTGACATGATAGATGTCACCTAGGACTGTGCCAAGACTTCCCAGCAGTGATGACAAACACAACCATTCAAGGATTCCACAATCAGCATAGTAACTTAAAACAAAAGTTGTTCTTAATGGCATTCCAAATAGTATTGTCCAAATCTGTTCAGTCCCTATCTCTCACACACATGAATAATTTTTGCTGTAGTTCATATATTTAGATTTTTTAGAAACACTCATAGACAAATTACTGTTTAATTGGAAGATCTAATTTCTTTTCAACTTAACAAAGATATGGAACAGTAAAATCTTTTCAATAGAGAGCAGCTGGATAATGTGGACAACTGGATAATGTGGCCAAAAGATCACAGAGTCTGCTGTGGTGGAATGGGAGGAATACTTTTAACAGGTAGATTTGTAATAAAATACATTTTATATAAAGAAGGGGATAAATGAAAGGCAGCTGACAAAATAATCACAAAGAATATTCTTATTGAACCACCTTCTTAAACAAGAGTTCCACTGTAATGTTCTTATAAACAAAGGAAAATCTAAGAAAATTTTACACACACACACACACACACACACACACACACACAAAAATATATATACACACACACACACACACACACAAAAATATATATACACACACACACACACACACACAAAAATATATATACACACACACACACACACACACAAAAATATATATACACACACACACACACACACACAAAAATATATATACACACACACACACACACACACAAAAATATATATACACACACACACACACACACACAAAAATATATATACACACACACACACACACACACAAAAATATATATACACACACACACACACACACACAAAAATATATATACACACACACACACACACACACAAAAATATATATACACACACACACACACACACACACACACACACACAAATGCATGTACATGCACACACACTCACACAGTGTGGTACCTGCTGTTCAAGAGGGCCTGAACTGTGTGAGCATATACAATCCAATGCATTTACTACCCGTGCTGCAGTAAAATTATTGCGTTATTATTATTTGCATATTGTAGTTTTAGATTCATAGATGTTTTAACTACAGACCCCAAGGAAAATATTTACTGGTGATGGTAAGCGTGCAAGTGTAAAGCAAAAACCAGTAACTAAAGGAAAAAAGAAAAGCAGGCGAACTTGCCTCCCTGATGTGGTTTGTTTGGCAGCTGTATAATGGTCTTCTACTCAGATGCTCATGGACAGATATGTGGATGTAGACTTGCCACTTCCTCAACTCTCCAGTTTCACTGGAAAGAGCCAGGCTCTACTTATATGTTAGATTTGTATCATACTGTTTTGATTGTCTATTCCACGCCCTGTAACACTTGTGCAATAACAATCTGTTACATGCCAGGTGTTTTGATGTAGTACATTGTCAATATTTAAGGTTCTGAATCTAGGATTACTGGGAATGAGGAGAAAATAGGGTCAGAAGCAAAACAATTAGCTCAGCCAAACAATTTCTATTCTGGTTAGCATAAAGTAGAACACAAAGTAGTTCTTTGGAAAGCACAGAGATTTCCTTCGTTTCTAAATCCAGAGGAGGATCTTTCCTTGTTCTAGACTTGTCACTGGTCACTCAGCAGGCAAGGCTTTATGTTTAGGGCAGTGAAGGGGAAATCTGGAAGTCTAGTGAAGGAAAGAATGTCTACTCTGGGAAAGGTTGAATGGCCTTGGCCATTATCTATATGGCACCCTGCAGATCACACAGAATTTCACAGACTTTATGTACTGGAGTCTCCCAGCGGCCTTGATTTTTTGTAAGATTCAGAGTCATAGACTCTTTAGGATTAGAGTTAGAGAGAATAGTCACCTATTTTTGACCTTCCTTCTCCAGAAACTCTTTCTAAAGGGCCACTCCCCAGTAAGCAGTTAGGTGAGAGTGACTGGAGAAGGAAAGAAAAAGCAATAATTTTAAAAGTAACTATTTTATAATTTAAATTTCAGTGAGTGCCCTGTCTCTCTTAATGCTCCTCTTCCAGGAAGATGGCTAGTATTGGCTGCAGTCAGAGCCACTTGGATCAACACAGACACAGGCAGGCACACAGGGCACAAAACACACATACATACACACACAAGCATACACACCTTTCCTTCTAGTCTTTCAGCTAGAAGCTGGGACTGACTCTAAGATAAAACCTTCAGTTGGAGAAACTGAAACACTATCTCCTGCAAGTAGGAAACTCACAGCTCTGCCACCACCAACAGCCAACAGCGAAGCTGAAGACAGGGAAAGATTCATGATGTCATAGATTAGCTTTTCTGGTTCTCCTTGCTTCACAAAGAAGCTGAAACTGCTCCCTCTCTTTTGAGGAACTTGCACTTTCAAGCTCTGTGCAAACACAACTGGATCCAAGTGTCTGTAAGGACCTGGTTGGCAAAGCAGGTTTTTTTTTGCGGGGGGGCGGGGGGGGCGGGGGGCCGTGAATTCAAATACTAGTGTAGGCTTGTGTATTTTAATTCTCCCTCTTTTGCTAGGAACCTGTAGACCTGGGATCTGACTGGTGCAGCTAGGAGAGAGGGTGGTTGGCATGCGCTCTGACCTAGTGCCATCTCATCTTAGACTTCAAGCGCAAGTCTCCCATTCAGGCTCCTCTGGCGGAGAGTGGACATGCGAGCATAAAGGAGTAGACGTTATAAATGTGCCCTTCTGCCCCTACGCCTTTCTAACCTCTTAGTCCTCATCTTAATTGACAAACCGGTGACTATTGGCTGAAGTTCCCCAGTGATTTGCATGAACCAGGAGGGAGTGTTCTCTGCTGCCCTCCCCTCTGGAGCAAGCTGACTGCAGTTTCCCTGGGAATGCTCCGCCGAGGGAATGCGCACAGCTCGCGGGCCCTGGCTGTGAGCTGGCGCTCGGAGACCTGCCACCCGCGCCTGGATATGGGGCTTCTACATCGTCTCAGGAGCAGCACCAGCCACAGGAATCTGCCGGTAAGATGAGGGAACCACTGAGTCCCAGGGAGTTGAAATACTGTTCAGCTGTTCCTACTCCTTTAGTGTTTCACTTTTGCTTTAATACAAACTTCATGAAAGGATAGGGGGAAGGAAAGGGAGTTTGGGATACTGTGCCTACAGTATTTTAGCAAAGAATAGTCACCTTCTCCGGTCAGGAAAGGAAGTTTCTGAAGCAGAAATGTTGGATGAGGTGGAGGAGCCCAGGGTGCGCTCCATCCGCTTTAGATTCCGGGGTCCAGAGACTGAGTCCTGTGGCCAGCGTCTGGCTGGAATTGTCTACTGCAATTGACACATAGCTTTTGTACAATAATTTTCACGTTTATTTTGCTTCCTCCTAAGAAAGGGGGCAGGTTTAGTAGGAGGTAGAGGACGTGGTAAGAGGTAGAGATCCAGTTAATTTCGAGTAGATGTTACTTACGTTATAAAATAAAATATTACTTTTTTTTCCTAAGACAAAGCTTCTTAGGGAGTATGGCCGCTTTTTTCAACATTATTATTATTGTTACTGTTGATGCTATTGTTTTTATTAGTCTTTTAGAAAAGGATGGATCACGTTTCGTGTTCTGGGACCTTAATGGCAGAATGACTTCCATTAGAAACGCCCCCCCCCCCCCCCCCCCGGCCCCAGTGCTCTCCTTGGCCGGTTCCCTCCCTCCTCATAATCCAAGGAGGTTTCCTTGCGCAGTCTCTGAGTCGGAGTCCTCCAGTCTTCGGAGTGTATTTACAGGGACCCAGTGCCTTGTGGTTTGGGATTTGATTGGGAATGTTTGCTGGATGAGGGTTGTAGTGAAGATGGGGTGCGGTGGGGACGGGGAGTGTAGACTAAGAGGACGGGCTAAGTTTCAGAGACAGTTGCTCCACAGAACTCTCTTGGCTACCAAGTATCCCATTCACCCCATTTTGATTAGATATTTTGCTACTGAAAATAGAATGAGGGGAAACATTCCCAAGAAGATACTGACTCCTAATTCTTATCTCTGTATTTCTGGGAGTGTGTAATCACCTTTCTCTCCTCCCTCCACTCCAGCATGCATTTCTGCTTTTCCTCTTCGTGGGACCCTTCAGCTGCCTCGCGAGTTACAGTCGGGCCACGGAGCTTCTGTACAGCCTAAATGAGGGACTGCCAGCAGGGGTGCTCATAGGCAGCTTAGCTGAGGACCTGAGGCTGATGCCTAGGGCGGCTGGGAGACAGAGCCAGCAGCAGCAGCCAGAGGGGAACCCCCCTCTCTCTTTCAGCTTGGCCTCCGGGGGACTGAGCGGTCAGTACGTGACCCTAGACAACCGCTCTGGAGAGCTGCACACTTCGGAACAGGAGATCGATAGAGAGGCTCTGTGTCTTGACCAGGGTGGAGGAGCTGCCTGGGGAGGCAGTATTTCCATCGCCTCCTCTTCTTCTGACACTTGCCTTTTGCTTCTGGATGTGCTCGTCCTGCCTCAGGAATATTTCAGGTTTGTGAAGGTGAAAATTGCCATCAGGGACATCAATGACAATGCTCCACAGTTCCCAGTTTCCCAAATCTCTGTTTGGGTCCCTGAAAATTCTCCTGTAAACACCCGGTTGGCCATAGAGCATCCTGCCGTGGACCCAGACATAGGCATTAATGGCGTGCAGACCTATCGCTTACTGGACTATCATGGTATGTTCACCTTGGATGTGGAGGAGAATGAGAATGGGGAACGCACGCCCTACCTAATTGTCATGGGTGGGTTGGACAGAGAAACCCAGGACCATTATGTGAGCATCATCATAGCTGAGGATGGTGGGTCTCCACCACTGTTGGGCAGTGCCACCCTCACCATTAGCATAAGTGATATTAATGACAATTGCCCTCTCTTTGTAGACTCACAAATCAATGTCACTGTGTATGGAAATGCTACAGTAGGCACCCCAATTGCAGCTGTCCAGGCCGTGGATAAAGACTTGGGGACTAATGCACAGATTACTTACAGTTACAGCCAGAAAGTTCCACAAGAATCCAAGGATCTATTCCATCTGGATGAAACAACTGGAGTTATTAAACTTTTCAGTCAGATCGGTGGAAGTGTTCTACAGATGCACAAGCTCACCATCCTTGCTAATGGACCAGGCTGTATTCCTGCTGTAATCACTGCTCTGGTGTCCATCATTAAAGTCATTTTCAGACCTCCTGAAATTGTCCCACGTTATATCGCAAATGAGATAGATGATATTGTGTATCTGAAGGAACTGGAACCTGTTAACACTCCAATTGCATTTTTTACCATAAGAGACCCAGAAGGCAAATACAAGATTAACTGCTACCTGGATGGTGAAGGGCCATTTAGATTAGCACCCTACAAGCCCTACAATAATGAATATTTGCTAGAGACCACAAAACCTATGGACTATGAGCTACAACAGTTCTATGAAATAGCTATAGTTGCCTGGAATTCAGAAGGGTTTCATGTGAAAAGAAGCGTGAAAATACAACTTTTAGATGACAATGATAACGCTCCTGTCTTCCTTCAACCCTTGATAGAACTGACCATTGAAGAAAACAATGCACCCAATGCCTTTCTGACTAAGCTCTATGCTACAGATGCTGATAGTGGAGAGAGAGGCCAAGTTTCCTATTTCCTGGGACCTGATGCTCCATCATATTTTTCCTTAGACAGTGTCACAGGAATACTAACAGTTTCTACTCAGCTGGACAGAGAAGAGAAAGAAAAATACAGGTACACTGTCAGAGCTGTGGACTCTGGGAAGCCACCCAGAGAATCAGTGGCCACTGTGGCTCTCACAGTGTTGGATAAAAATGACAACAGTCCTAGATTCATCAACAAGGACTTCAGCTTTTTTGTACCAGAAAACTTTCCAGGATATGGTGAAATTGGAGTCATTAGTGTAACAGATGCTGATGCTGGGCGGAATGGATGGGTGGCCCTTTCCGTGGTAAATCAGAGTGACATTTTTGTCATAGATACAGGCAAAGGCATGCTGAGAGCTAAAGTCTCATTAGACAGAGAGCAGCAAAGCTCTTATACTCTGTGGGTGGAAGCTGTTGATGGGGGTGAGCCTCCCCTTTCCTCCACCACAAAAATTACAATTCTTCTTCTAGACATCAATGACAACCCTCCTCTTGTTTTGTTTCCTCAGTCTAATATGTCTTACCTGCTGGTTCTGCCTTCTACTCTCCCTGGTTCCCCAGTTACGGAGGTCTATGCTGTTGATAAAGACACAGGCATGAATGCTGTCATAGCTTACAGCATCATTGGGAGACGAGGTCCTAGGCCTGAGTCCTTCCGCATTAACCCTAAAACTGGCAATATTACTCTGGAAGAGGCCTTGCTGCAAACAGACTATGGACTACATCGCTTATTGGTGAAAGTGAGTGATCATGGTTATCCTGAGCCTCTCCATTCCACAGTCATGGTGAACTTATTTGTCAATGACACTGTCAGTAATGAGAGCTATATTGAGAGTCTTTTAAGAAAAGAACCAGAAATTAATATAGAGGAGAAAGAGCCACAAATCTCAATAGAACCAACTCAGAGGAAGGTAGAATCTGTGTCCTGTATGCCCACATTAGTAGCTCTGTCTGTAATAAGCTTGGGTTCCATCACACTAGTAACAGGGATGGGCATATACATCTGTCTCCGCAAAGGCAAGAAACAGCACAGGGAAGATGAAAATTTGGAAGTACAAATTCCACTGAAAGGAAAAATTCACTTGCATATGAGAGAGAGAAAACCAATGGATATTTCCAATATTTGACATATCATTATAGAATAACACAGAGAGATGTTTAAGCTGACTTGAGTAGTCTTTGCCACCCAAATAAGATTGTGCTGATTCAGTTCCACTGAAGGACAACTAATTTATAACTTGTAATATATTGTAAATAGCTGTTTACAGGTTTTTAATTCAAATTCAGAGGTTATAAATGTACAGCATTTTTAAATGAAAATTAATACTAACAGCTATAGAATTGTTATTTATAAAAAAAAAAGGCTGGACATGATTTGCAGTTTTCCTACATCAAGCAGATGATTGACAAAACCTGGCACTAAGGTAAGAAATGGTACATTTTTGTTGTTCTAAAATGTCTTTTCACCACAAGAGGGCATCATCTGCCCCTTTGCAGGAAACTGCAGTATTGTACATGATAGCTGTTGTACATGAAATTAATGAGAGAGTATATTTTAAATATATTGTTTTTAACATTAAATATGAAATTAAAGTAAATTGAATTTTCCCTACTTAAATGTATGATAAGAAAGAAAAGCAACACACTTGTAAAGAGAACATTTATTACCTCATTGGTACATCATGTATAGTTGGAAAGAGAAGGCATTAAAAAAGAAGTGCAATTCATTTTTAGCAAGTGTAAAATCCTTGGCATGTGTTATAAATTTGACCTACTGAAGAGTGTTTTACCTTTTGTGCATTCAAACTGCTTTCTCTTTGCTTTTGCAGAAAATGTAACTAGACATTGTGCCCAAGTAAAACAGCCAGAAATAAGCATCTAAATTCCAAGTTGCTTCCTTGATGTTCTAGTGCATTCTCAACCTGTTAGGAGTAATTTGGGGTATACTTTACTTTTTTATATGCTTAAGTCCATCAGTCACACAAGAAAATATAAAAGTCATGTTAAAATTGAGCCATTCTTGGAACTACTGTACAATACTGGTTGTTTTATTTGGGCATTCTATGTGTAAGTTTTACTCCTGTTGTTTTTGCTCATTAGCTACCATTTCAGGCCTCTTCCTTTGGTTTTGGATTAAGTCCAAGAATTTGTAAGTCCGGTAGCAGATTTCTTTGAAAATTTAGCCTTTGCTAAACCTTTTGTAATGAAGAAAACTGGTTCATCGGTGATTTATCATTTTTCCTTCTTTGCATGAGTTGGAAAGTTTATTTTACATAAGAACTCTAGCAGATTTATTTGTGTAAACAAGGAATGTGTTAGCTTCAACTGGATCATTTTAATTCCTGTCATTATATGTCTGTACTGTACCAAAAGTGTTTATATGTCTGCAATTAAAGGTATATATTTTCATAATTTCTTGCTTATTTTTACCATTTTATATTTGAACATAGGCTTGTTCTTTCACAGAAGTGCCTGTTATTGGCATCTGTTTGTCTTTAGGACCATATGTAAGAAACTGTAGTATTCTGCTATGCTAAAGTTTATATTAAACTAATCCATGACATATTTAAGCATTGGGTATATTATTATGTGTGTAATTTTACATAGACAGTAGAATATGCCTTCATGTTTAAGTTCATTTGAAAATTTGCACCAATCCATGTGAATATTCATGTTAACAAGTTATAGATTTACTATCAGTTTAAACTTTCATCTTAGCATATAACAAATCCTGTTCTAGCCATGCTTCAATACTTGTAATGATTTTTTAAGGTAAAAATACACTGCAAACAAACAAACAAAATCTTAAATACAAACACCCCGAACTCACTGGATTTATATTAAGAAAATTTTTGGCTTCTTCAATTTGATAATTTGAATAAGTAAGTATATACAGCAGTTTATGACAAAAATTCCAATGTATTTCATGTAAATTCCTTTTGCATGAAAGGCATTTGACCTAAGAGTTATAAGATGATTTAACTCCCTCAACTGTCTATTCATAACTGACACATAACAATTTCGGAAAGCATCATTTTCCAGCCATGTTCTACTGCTTTTATTTTATAAAAGGAAAAACTTCAGAAAAAATTAGTACCATCATTAATAAAAAGTAAATCCTCCACAAAGTCCATGCTGTTTACCATCATTATAATTAAAAAATCTATATGTTCATTTCCAAATTTGAAGACAGTTCATGTGTTTTGGGTGTATGGATTTCATTTCCTGCAAGAGAAATATTTATAACCTCAACAAAATTATGATTTTGCAATCAATTCTTGTCATAGGATGTCCTTTACAAAACATCTCATTCGCATTAAAATATTAATAACAGGGAATTCTAAAGTAAATCAAGCTTAAAAAGCCCCTTTTTCTAACACCTTGTGCTAGAAGAGTTGCCAAAATGTATGCTAATCATGTCAATGTTGTTAGTTGAGCTGGCACAAAAATAACTGTTCCATTCATTAAAAGTCCTAATATCCATTTAACAGTTTGAGAACCAGTGAGCTCTCCTTGCCCAAATTAATGATGAAGAGAAGGCTCTGATCTCTGTCCTGCCAAATATATCCTTACACTACAGAAGAGAGTGTTCATCAATTTGAATTGGGAAATTTAAAACCAACATAGCAATTCAGACAAGTGGGAAAATAATTTACAGTACTTTGCTCTTTACCATAGATTTGCTGTATTTTTTTTTTCTGGCAGTTTTATTTTAATCAAAAGAAGTTAAAAGCTAGCCGTTGTGGTGAATGCCTTTAATTGCATCACTTAAAAGCCTGAGTTAGGTTGAATATCTTTAAGAACAAGGCTAGGCTGGTCTACATAGTGAGTTCCAGGCTAGCTGTGGCTATAGGGAGACCCTGTCTCAAGAGTGTGTGTGGCGGGGAGGGGGAGAGAAAGAGAAGCAGAAAGAGAGAAGTTAAAAAGAGAAAGAAAAAAAAATATGTTTTAACACAGTCCAGAAGTACTGGTGGACCAGAAAAATTCAAAACCCTAAGTCATTTGGATTCAGACTTTGTACTTGTGTTTTAGAGAAATAGCAGGCTTAATTATACTATGAAATAACATTAATAGAATCAGCATTAAAGACAGTGTATGAAGATGACTTGACTGTAGTAAGAACTGTCACAAAGATTCTCATTTGCACACCCAGAAAATGTTTTAATTGACAACTGTAAAAGGAGGACTCCAGAAATTCCCTTTGAATACAGAGTCCAATCTCTACTCAGTAAGGTGAATACTCTGTGGGATACTGGCCTTTGTCAGACAAGGGAAAATGTAATCAAAGCGAAATCGTGTTCCTCAACTCCTTTGGGCAGTCTCAGTTTGCTGAGAGGAAAGATGCAAATATGTGAGGATTATCTTCACTCTAATTCAGATCTGTTCACTACAAACTTAAAGCAGTTTATTATTACAAAATACTCATATTACTGACTTACACAATCTTTGCCTGTTCTTGTATAAGTAGTAGATAAATATTTATTAACAATAAGAGACCTGACTGGTGCAAGTGGACTCAAAGCATAAAAAATAAACTATTAAATCCATTCCTGAGCAGAAAAGAGCCACCATGTTTATCCTAGTTGTTTTCATTTCAGATAAAAATATCATGTACATTTTTAAATGGTATATACATAAATACAATCTGTAATCATTTTAAAATATCATGTATTTCTGCATAATAGCCTTTAAATTACTAGTACTTATTTCAGTGATAGACTCCTAAACTGAGAATGTCTTTATTTACATTTACTTATTTGGAGGGATTTAACACATGCATGTGTGGAAGCCAGAGAACAATTTACTGGGGTCAGCTCTCACCTCACACCATGTGGGTTCCAGGGTCAAACTAAGGATGTCAGGCTTGGCAAGAAGAGCCTTTACTCACTGAACCATTTCACTGACCCCTGGAATGCCTTCCATTAAGGGCATCATACAAAATGCATAAAGATTAAGAAACTCAACAGTAACACAAAGGTCAAACACTGTGGTTATGAAAACATTCGGTTGTTCATTTTGCACGCATTTTACTATGCACAATTAACAGAGATTTAACAGACAAGAAGAGTCTCTTACTAAATTGTATTATGGTGTAGAATACCAGTGAAGAAACAAAATTTCAAAATTCTCTGCGTGATAAATGCATATTTCCTGGATGCCCTGTAAATGGGACAGAATCTGATCTTAGAAAGCTTAAGAAGGCCTGCAATGGAAATTATTTCTGTTCTGAGTCTTTCTAAGAGGAGATGCTAATAGTTTCTTAAAGAAAAAAATAAAAATGAAACATTAGCCAGGGTAGTTGGAAGAGGAGAGAGAAAGGCATTTGGGGATGAGGAAATGATATGCAAGGCACAGAGAGAAGCAAACCTGTATGCTTGAAGAGCTAACAGCATTAGAGGTATTCTTAGCTGAAGGAATAACAGTAATAAAAAAAATATTAACAGCTAATGTGGAGAGACAAGATGAAGAAAATTTTCTTCACTTTTTAATTTTTATTTATTAATTATTTTTATTTTATATATATGCGTATATTGCGTTCATGTATGTAGATGCACCCTGTGTCATGCAATGTACGTGGAAGTCAGAAGAGAGTGGTGGATCCCTTGGAACTGGAGTTGCAAACAGTTGTTAGCCTCCATGTGGGTTCTGGGACTCAAACCCCAGTCCTCTGTGAGAACTGTCTGTGCTCTTAACTTTTACCCATCTCTCCAATCCCAGATTTCTTAACTCTTAAACCATGAAATTTGTATTTGAAAATACCACTTTGACCATGATTAGAGATTTTATTAAAAAATAATGCATGCTGGATAAAAGGATTAGTGACAATTTAATTGCAAAAATGACTCCTTATGTGAGAACACATGAAACAAAGCATGTAGTGTATAAGGTAAGTAACAGCTGAGAAAATTGGTGAGTCTATAAGGATTTGCATATGATGAGCAGAGAGTAAATCATTTTTAAATTTGCTTTGAGCTTTTATTTTTTTCAAGTTTGAAGAGCATAAGGGATCTCATTGAAAGAGTGATGAAAGAATTAGAGGAATCTCCACTGTTGGATTTAATGACAGATGGAATAATTAGGGCACTAATTTACTGTTTGTTTCATCTTTTATGTGTGTCAATTCCATTTAATTTAACAAACGTTACTGCGAGTCCATGGGGCAGACATTCCATTATGAGGTTAACCTCCCAAAGCTTGTCTGACCCTAGGAACTTGCACCTGTATTTGTCTCACAGCTGCAGTAAAACTGTGCATGCATTGAAGAATCAGGCTGAAGTTTATGGAAAAGGACACTGAGATATCAGTGAATGACATTCAGGATAAATATTTGAAGTGTTACATAAATACAGA